AGGAAAAGTGTGAGTCTCTCACTTAATGGGGGAGGCAACCTTGTGACAGAGGATGCAGAAAAGGCTGAAGGTACTCAATGCCTTTTATGCCTCAGTCTTCACAGGCAATTGTGCCAGGCTGCAGAGTCTGAGGAGGAGGTGAGCAACCCTCAGTGGTGAAAGAACTGGTTAGGAACTATTTAGAAAAGATGGATGTGTACAAGTCCATGGGGCTGGATGGGATGCACCCGAGGGTGCTGAAGGAGTTGATGTGCCTGCAGAGCCATTGGCCATCATCTTTAAAAACTCGTGGCGATCAGGAGAGGTCCCAGATGATTGGAAAAGGGCAAACATAGTGCCCATATTTAAGAAAGGGAAAAAGGAGGATCCAGGGACAACACACCAGTCAGCCTCATCTCAGTCCCTAGAAAAAGCATGGAGAAGATCTTCAAGGAATCCATTTCTAAGCGCTTGGAGGAGAAAAAGATGATTAGGAACAGGCAGGTGTGAAATCCTCTCCACTTGATAGGGTGCATTCGGAGGTCACTCCTCCCAGGGTTAGCCCAAGTAACAGGGCTCCTGCTTGAGTCCCTGTTACAATGATATAACTAGTACTTGTGGATGCAAGGAAGCCAGTAGATGTGGTATATCTCGAGTTTAGCAAGGTTTTTGATACAGTCTCCCACAACATGCTTGCAGGCAAGCTAAGGAAATATGAGCTAGATGAATGGACTGCAAGGTGGATAGAAAACCGGCTGGAGTATCAGGCTCAGAGAATAGTAATCGATGGCTTGATGTCTAGTTGGCAGCTGGTATCAAGTGGAGTGCTCCAGAGGCGGGCCTTGGGGCCAGTTTTGTTCAATGTCTTCATTAACAACCTGGAAGATGGCATAGAGTGCACCCTCAACAAGTTTGCAGATGACATCAAGCTGGGGGGAGTAGTAGATATGCTGGAGGGTAGGGCTGTTGCCAGTAGGTCAAAGGAAATTATTATTCCCCTCTATTCAGCACTAGGGAGGCCACATACTATATTCAGTTTTAAACCCCCACACTACAGAAAGCATATGGCCAAAATGGCAAGAGTCCAGTGAAGGGCAACAAAAATGGTTCAGGGGCTGAGGCACAGGACTTCTGAGGACAGGCGGAGGGAACTGGGCTCATTTAGTCTACAGAAGACTGAGAGGGGATTTAATAGCAGCCTTCAACTACCTGAAAGGAGAGTTCAAAAGAGAATGGAGCTAGGCTGTTCTCAGTCATAGCAGATGACAGAACAAGGAGCAATGGTCTCAAGTTGCAGTAAGGGAAGTTTAGGTTGGATATTAAGAAGACAGTAAAACACTGTACCAGGTTATCCAGAGAGGTGGTGGAATCTCCATCCTTGGAAGTTTTCAAGACCCAGCTAGGCAAAGCTTTGGCTGGGATGATCTAGTTGGGGATAGTCCTGCTTTGAGCAGGGAATTGAACTAAATGACCTCCTGAGATCCCTTCAGACTCTAATTTTCTATAATTCTATGATTCTAACATAGTGGTAAGGGCACTCTTCTGGTAAATGGGTACAAAACTCATCAGGCAAAGAGGGAATTGAACCATCATTTTCTACATCCTCAGCAAGTGTCAAAACCACCAGACAATTAGTTAAAGAGGGAACCAACACCATGACCACTTCGACTATGAATCTTGCCCTTCATTCCCTCTGTTTTTCTTCCAAGCAAACAAAAGCTGAACGATGTTGTTGTTGTCCAAACTTATTGAGAGGGAGGGGGGGCATTTCCAATATCTTGTGGGTCCACCAATCCCCTAAATCAGAGGCAGGCAAAATATGGCCCATGGACCATTCTATCCAGCCCGTGGGGCCCCTACAAAGTTTACAAGATAAATATTAATCTGTTCCAGGTTTCCTGTCAAAGCTGACAGGAACCAGGGGCAGTAGGACCCAGGGGAAGCCACCAGGAGTCAGGAGAAAGGCCAGCACAGCCCCGCCCTCCCCCCACCTACCCAGAAGTCTCTGCCTACCAGAGCCTTCCCTGCACATGGCTGCTTCAGCACCATGTGGCCCCAGCTGCATAACTGGACTGCAGGAGCAGGGGTGTGCTGGTACCCTGGGGCGAGGGAGGAAGGGGGCATTGTGTGCGTGTGTCCATGCAATTAAGGAGGAGGAGACAGAGAGAGCAATGAGGGAAGGAGGGGGGAGAGAGAGAGAGAAAGCAAGAGAGTGTGTGCGTGTGTGTGTGTGTGTGTGTGTGTGTGTGTGTGTGTGTGGTGAACAAAGCATAGTGTGCGTGTGTGTATGCATGTGTGTGTAGTGAACAAAGCAGTGCGTGCGTGCATGCACGATGAAGGAGGGAGAGGGAGAGTGTGCTTGTATTCATAAGGTGAGTCCTACAAGCATCCCCCACAAACCCCCACACCCTCACATATCCACACACACCCACATGCTCCCTCCCCCATACCCACACCCCACACACTTATGCACCCCCACAAACTTCCCCCACACACCCTACTTACATACCCACAGCCCCCCACAAACCCATACCCACCCCCTCATGCGACCCACACCCCCACAGTATACAAGAGTAAGACTTCATTTTAAGCTATTGTGCAATCACCTCTATGTACGTTACACAAACGCATGTAAATCAGGACAAAAATATTTTTTGAAATCAAAATTAATGAATGCTGTAGATGTTTGATTTTTAGAATATAATTTGGTGCTTTTCTGGTTCTTAGATGGCAAAACCCCTTGCTTCCGGTGGCAAAGGTCGGAGGTTAGAGGGAGGGTCTTCTGTTCCCAAGATGGCAACCAGGGGGCATGGCACCTGTCAAGGGGCGGGGCTACCCATGCGGTCCTTGACAGCTTGCCAAAACTCGGTAAGCAACCCTCCGCCCAAAATAATTGTCCACCCTGGCCTATAGTGACCCTGCATAAGTTCTCTGCCAATATATTCAAAATTGGGGGTTAGGGAGAGTATTCTGAAGCTCCTTAAAGTAGAGGTCAGATGTGAATTCCTGGCTGCTGTTCTGGAACTTCATGGAACTCTCTCCTACACTACAAGGAGGTCTAAACAAAGGAAGAAGTCAGTTTTTCTCTTCTTCTTCCTCCCATAAGTGAACAACAGCATTCACACCACAGCAGATCTGTAATCAAATAAGGTCATTTCCACTTGAAGCATATCATTTCCTTATGACCAAAAAGTTATCAAATCAATATAAATAAGGACTGCTAGATACAACTAACATGCTATAGAGCAGCACATGAAGAACATCAATATAAATATTTTTTACAACCCTCAGACTGTTTGAAATTTCTAGTAAAAGGGATGCAAGGAAAAGTGAGATAATCAGTGACACTTGTTAGGCAAGGTGATTTGAGACTTATTTTCCAGGAAAAAAATCATTTTTCATCAAACCATGCACTTCAAATAAGGCTCAAAGTTTACAGTCTGTGTTGTGTTTTGCCATTTCAGTAACATTTCTGCAACGTAAAAAGGTTTAATGTTTCAGTTAAGCTGAATGCTGTGACACAACCTTAACTATCCTGAACCTACCATTTCACCAGAATAAAATGAAACAAATTGCAACCCATGTAGCTATTTAAATCAAAAAGAAATTAACTTCCACAGATCTCCTGTTTAAAGATGAATGCATCCATAAGTCACAACAGAGAACTTCAATTAACTCCATTTGGGTCCATCAGTCATACTTCAAACACAACAGATAAAAGGCCAATATCCTTCCATTATAAAATATCATTACAAATACTGACAGCAATATTTTTCTTCATTATTCCTGTTCGCCCACTTCATCTACAAAGAGCTGTTTTTGGTCACAATTCTACAATTATTCATACCAAGAATTTTACAAGTAAATCCAGTAGTGAGACTATTTTCCTACACAAGCAGCTACCACAAAGATAAACAGAAATGAAATATATAGTCAATTGCTTTATACAACAGAACAATTTCCATATTATGCATGAAATCAAATAGGAAATCAAACCTTTTGGAAAACAAATATATCAAGATGTTAAACATTTAATGGCAGTAGAAACAATGAGTTGTAGATCACTGAACAGCATCAGCAAGTAAACATGCATATTTTATCTGGAGTCAAAGAATTATGTATCCATTACCACCATTTTCATTGTTAACGTCTAGGCTGATCATAAGGAAATCAAGGACATTCATCTGGGACATCTGGGATACTGCCTTTCTCCCCTCCCTCCCCCCACACTCTCATAAGTTGGCAGGGGTGGTGCAGTGTGCCAGGCAGGCAACAGTAACAGCCTGTCCACCAGCAGGGTGCTCCATGCCTCTCTGACTCCTGGCCAGACTGTGCCCTGTGCCCCTGCGTTTCCACCATTATTGCACATTACCCTTAAATGATACAAAGGGCAGGAAGCCAAGGAGCATTGGGGGAGCTACAGGTATGTCAGTGGGAACAGGAAGTGGGAAGCTGGGGCAAGCAGGGGCAGTGCAGGCCTAATCTGGACAGGTGGGGGCAGCACAGACCTAGTCCAGTCAGGCAGAGGCAGCCCAGGCCCAATCCTGGAGCAGAAGAGCCTATACAGGACAGCCAGGCAGACTTGGTGACTCCTTGCCACACCCCTGCTTGCCAACTCTTTAGCAGGAGGTCAAAGCTGTGCACCTTTAGAGAAGGTATTAACCCTTAACATGCAACTGCTTACACCACATGCTAACTTTAATATTTCCTAACCTTCCTTAAGAGTTAACATGTACTAACTGTCACGTGTAACCACACCACTGAAGTGGTTACTCTAGGGCGTGAGAACCCCTTGGGCTGAATTCAGATTTTATATATAAACTTGTGAAAAACCCTGAAAGTAAGATCAGGATTGTGTCTCTGAGTCAGCCTTGGTATTCTGCCATACCAATCATTTTGTTAACTAACTTTGATTGCTATTAAATGCTAGTATCACAGAACACTGGCATTACAATGAAAAGTTGTTAGAAAAGTAGGCCTGATTATCTAATATTATGAGACAGAAGAATTAAATTGATTACCTGACTTTGCAATTCACTCTGTTGCTTTAGGCGAAGGTTTTCAGGCGTATCAGCCACTGTAGTGAAGGATTGCTTTGGATAGTGTCTAGAAAAAGAATCACAAAGTCAAACAGAATATATGTAGATATACTAAAGAAATTAAATAAATCCATATGCTCTTTGCCATTCTAGTTCAATTTACAACTCCGTTTAAAAGTAAAAGTAGTTACTGCAAAAAGTTATAGTAAAAATATTTTAGTCCTACATTGCACAAAAGATACGGATAGATTTGCATAATTAATCTGGAATCCATGTATATCCAGCATAGGCTCTCTTTGCATAGAATGATTTGTATAAGGTTTATTTTGCATACTATAAAATAAAACAGTCTGTTTTTAATTTTGTTTTGGATATTGTTAAACTGAATTAGAATCAAGATAAGATGCCTTAAAATAGAAATACTGTACAAATTAACAAATGTTAAATAAGTCATTATGTTTAGAATTCATAGGTATTTTGAATACAAACTATACTAGTGCTGAAATCTAGATGATTTACTGTGGTTACAATGACATTCCAGGTACAGAAAGGTCAGACCTTTTAATGTTAATCATGTCAACACACTGCTGTATGTAAAAGGAAATTATATCTAGACCAAAGGCTGCATTGGGAAAAAAAACTCCACATTGAAGGTTACTTTGTATCTGTCCTTCAATTGAAATTTCACACCTCTTCAAAGTACATTTGTTATTTTTTATGTACTTTCACAGACACCTTCAATACTCAAGACATTTCATTTTATGTGGTTTTATCCTAAGTCTCTCTGTTGTCAGTTACAATATAATTTATATTATATGAAAGACTGGAAACAAAACTATCTACAGGTTAGCACAATATTTGCTTATGAAGCATCTGTACAGGGGGAAAAAATTATTCTAACAAACTTCTAGCCCAGGGGTGGGCAAAATATGGCCCATGGGCCAGATCCAGCCTGCAAGGCCATATAGAAAATGTACATTTATCTGCTCCCAGCTGCCTGTCAAAGATTTCATAGATTTCATAGACATTAGGGCTGGAAGGGACCTTGGAACATCATCAAGTCCAGCCCCCTGCCCCAGGGGCAGGAAGTCAGCAGGGGTCATAGGATCCCAGCAAGATCAAAATCCAAATTTCTTTTGAAGGCGTTCAAAGTAGGTGCTTGAACCACAGTCTATTCCAAACCTTGGGGGTTCAGACAGTAAAGAAGTTCTTCCTTACGTCCAGCCTGAAATGGTCATGGAGGAGGTTGTGACCATTCGATCTTGTCATCCTTTGGGGTGCTCTGGTGAACAGATGTTCCCCCAGATCCTGGTGAGCACCCCTGATAAATTTACAGGTGGCCACCAGATCACCCCTGAGCCTGCGCTTTTCCAGGCTGAAGAGTCCCATAGCTCTCAGCCTCTCATCATCAGGTCTGTTTTCCTGACCTCTGATCATGCGTCTGGCTCTTTTCTGGACTCTCTCAAGCTTCTCCACATTCTTTTTGAATTGTGGAGTCCAAAACTGGACACAGTACTAGAGCTGCAGCCTCACCAAGCCAGAGTACAACAGGAGAATGACGTCCTGGGATTTGCTTGAGAAGCATCTATGGATGCAAGCCAGCGTTTTGCTTGCTTTACTAGCTGCAGCATCACATTGAAGGCTCATGTTCATCTTGTGGTCAATCATGACCCCCAAGTCCCTTTCACCCATAGTGCTAGCCAGCATAGCACTGCCGAGCCTAAAAGCATGCTGCGGGTTTTTCTTCCCAAGGTGGAGAACCTTGCATTTTTTGGTGTTAAACACCATCAGGTTCTCATCCACCCATTTCCTGATCCTGTCAAGGTCAGCCTGGATCATCCTCCTGTCCTCAGGTGTGGACGCTTTACCCCAAAGTTTGGTATCGTCAGCGAACTTGGCCAGTCTGCTTCTGACGCCAATGTCCACATCATTAATGAAGATGTTGAATAGTATAGACCCAAAGACAGACCCTTGAGGGACCCCACTGGTCACAGAGCACCATGACGATTGACTTCCATCAACCACCACCCTCTGGGTCCTACTGCGGTGCCACTTCCCCAGCCAGCAGATTGTGGTGAGGCCAAGGCTGCAGTTAGCTAGTTTTGCTAAGAGGTGATCATGGGAAACCAGATCAAAGGCTTTTTTGAAGTCAAGATATATGACATCAATCTCTTCTCCCTTGTCCAGGTGATAGGTCACCTGGTCATAGAAGGAAATAAGATTGGTCAAGCAAGACCTACCCACAACAAACCTGTGCTGGCTAGCCATCGGCCAGTCTATTAAGAATGGCCTCCTTAATAATCTTTTCTAAGACCTTCCCCGGGACAGAGGTCAGGTCCTATAGTCTGCCAGATCCACTTTGCTCCCTTTCTTGAAGATAGGCATCACATTGGTGCCAGGGGCTGAGCTATGATGCTCACCAGCTCCTTGCGTACCCTGGGGTGTAGATTATCAGGGCCAGCTGACTTGGAGGTATCCAGCCTCTCAAGGTGTTCCTTCACAAGGTCAGCATTGATGGAGGGTAAGGAATCTCCCTCACCCAGGCCTTCCTGTCCCGTAACGGGCATGGGCATCCCTTGGGACTGGTGAAAGCAAGTTGGCTTTTTCAGGGGCGTCAGTTGTCAGTTGTCCCATCTGGT